TCCCTCGGCCCCCCACCATGTGCCCTGTGCAGACACAGAGAGAAGACCCCGTCCACGAACCAGGAAGCCGGTCCTCCACACACAGCAAATCTGCGGGCACCTTCATCTTGGACTCTCCAGCCTCCGTAACCACGAGAATGTGCTATTTAAGCCACCTCGTCTGGGTTTTTATTACAGAGGCCTGAACCAACAAAGACACGACGTCAATGATTTGAATTTAACCGTCAGGTAAAACTAACTTCTAAATAGTTTTTGGTGTTTACTTATTTTTGAGAGAGAGAGAGAGAGAGAGAGCGATCACAAGTGGGGAGGGGCAGAGACAAGGAGACGCAGAATCCGAAGCAGGCTCCAGGCTCCGAGCTGTCAGCACAGAGCCTGACACGGGGCTCGAACCCGTGAACAATGGGATCATGACCTGAGCCGAGGTCCGATGCTCAACCAACTGAGCCACCCTAGAACTAACTTCTAAAAACATCACCCCAAAACCAAGTTGGCAAGCAGTTGCCCTGCGGTGGCCCACACAGGGTCCCCCCCAGCCCCCCACGGGTTCATCTCGACTCTCACACCCGCAGCCAGAACCCCCATCCCTATCTGCCTCCTTCCCTGGACGGGACAGCTCGTCAGGAGCCGGTGTCCATCCGGCAGCTTCTGTTGGCAATGGCCCTCGCTCACCTTGGCCTGGCCCTTCATCAGCACGATGTTGGAGATGACGGAAGCCTGGAGGCCCCCCGAGGGCTGTGCCAGCTGAGCTGTGCTGAGCGACCGGGTGGGTCTCGAGCTGCCCTGTGGGAAGGAAGGGGTTCGGGAGGCGTGAGCCGGGGGAACAGCAGCACCCACCTCAGGGGGCAGGGGGGACCCCAACCCTCTCTCCGGGGGGCCCACGGCACCAGCCCCGAACTTGGTCGACGAGGCACGGTGGGAGTCTGGGGGGGCAGGAGGCTGCCTTCAGTGGTCCAGGGCTTTCAGCCTTCTCCCTGAAGCTGGAAGCTATAGAAGGCTTGTCCACACAGCAGGTGCAGACTACACGACAGACCACAGCGGCCGAGAACGACGCGTCCTAGAACCAGGGTCTCCAAGAATGCCCTCCCCAGACTGTGTCCAATTCAAGACACGCGTACCGAGCACCCCCCTTGGGCCCGGCATGGGGTGGTGGGCAAAGAACCTGAAGATTTTCAAATGCGGGGCATAAATCCCCAGGGAGGCAGACAAGCGACTTGCATAAGAGAAGCTGAGTGTGCCAAGGAGACGTGCACCCCGCGTGCCTCAGGAAGTCTCCCCCGCCCCCCAGGGTAGGGAGGGTATACAGCCCGGACCATCCATCACAGCTTAGACTCTGGGGCCCCACCGCCTGGGTTCCTTTCCTGGCTGGTGACCTTGAGGAAGCGACTCAACCACTCTGTGCCTGTTGCCTCTTCTGTAAAATCACCTGAGCCGACACGGTGCTGGGGACAGAGGCGCCGGGTGGTCCTGGGGGCAGCCTGAGTCCCTGCCGTGCAGGGCCCGGGGCTCGGGGACACAGCAGGAGGGGACGGACACTGCTGGGCTCCCGGCCCGCACCCCGCGCCCGACGTGGGAAGGACATGCGGTGTGGGGCCCACGGGGCTTGGCTCGAATTCTGCCTGGTCCCTTAGCTTCTGAGACGTGTGAACTCAGGCAGCCCCTCGCCTTGGCCAGCCGCCAAGTTTCGTCGGCGTGAAACGGGGCCGACGCTACCTTGGTTTCTAAGCCTGTCTTATGAATTAGAGGCACAGGGTGCAAGGCAGCTCCCGACACCACGGGGCTAAGAGCGCGGGTGTTGGCGTCCTGGAGGTCTGACCCTGAGCCCCCGGGCTGCCCGCCCTGGGCGATGCCCCCTGGCACGCGTGCCCTAACCTGTCCCGGGATGGCTCCTCACCCACCCCCTGGAGCCCCGGTGCAGAGGGAGTAAAGGGTCCGCAGAAGGCCTCAGCTTCCGCTCACATGGATCGTCAGCTCCCAGCCGCACACACAGGCAGTGGCCGCAAGGGCCGGCTCGCGGGGCGCTCCGCGATCACTGTTCCCGGTGAGGGTCTTTCTGTGCCCGGAGCTGCCCGCTCCCACCAGCCAGCCCCTCTCCTCGGTAGTGCCGGGACAGGGACAGGACCCCACCGGCTGGCCTCCGCAGCCACGGCCAAGCCCGGGCCCCTCCCGCGTCCCCTTCCCCGGCTCCCTCCCTTGGTTCTTACCGCAGACTTTCCCGCTGGGCAGTCCAGCTGCTGAGAGAGGGACTTCCGGCTGCCACACAGGGGGTAAGGCTGCCTGTCCGTGCAGGCCGCAGAGCTCTTTATCGTGTGAAAGTCGATCTCCCCTGTGCAATAGGGATTAACGCCTAAACCCCAGGGAGGAGGAAAAGAAGAAGCCGTCTGTGCCCTCAAAGCACAAAGGTCAGCGGAGAACACCCTTGGGTCCACCCCAAAGCCTTGGCCTCTCCAGCCCCACCCCAGCCCCACCAGCAGGGCAGCCCCAAGGCCCTTCTCGATCCCCCTGTGAATTCAGATCAGCAAGGACGCAGGCCCCCAGGTCGGGACAGAGCAGGTGCCCCGAAGCACGGGCTGGTCTGAAAATGACTAGTGGGCATGCTCCAGCCACAAGGACATCGATGAAGGTCGGCATCTCAAGTCGATGGGGAAGTGGGGGGTGCTGAACGCAGTCAGACACACAGCCATGGATTGAGTTCGTTGACAATGTGGTTACGAGAGCCAATGCAAAAGCCAAAATAACTTTTGAAAGGGAAACTACATATTGTGGTGCTGGTATAATAATAACATGAGTTTGTAATTAAGGGTTCAGTTGAAATATGGAATGGAAAAATCAGCGGGGAGGCAGACTAAGGGTAAGTAATTCCACTTTTCCGGGGGAGGTCGGGGGAGGGCAACTTGGAAAATGCCGTCTCAAATATTCATCAATTAATGACACCCAAATGATTAGCTAATTGATCTTGTGTTAAGGAAACCAGAAGTGCAGCTGGAAATTGAACACATCTCCCAAATCACTGCAAAACTCGAACACACACTCCGAGCAAGAGGCAGGGAACAAGGAAGTGACGAGTGACCAAATAACAAAGCGTAGAAAGCAGGTAAGTGAACGCAAACGTTATCCGTGAAACCAGCACCGATGGCGGGACATCTCTCTCTAAAAACGTTGCCCCCGTTTGCTTTCGAGATCTTACCGCGTATTCTTTGCAGGACATAAAACAAACGAACAGTGAAATGAAAGGCAGGCAGAGACTGGTCACCCATAAGCGGTGCTGGAACCAAGCAGCCACTTAAAATAGCATTTGTCTCGGGGCCCGTCGGTGGCTCAG